CTCTTTTCGACGTTGGTAATGGCACGGTTTGATTTAGAGATTAATTATCAATTGGCATAGACCATATACAATTTATAACGTGGCTGAAGTGGCCTGTAATGTCATATTCATATATATAATTTAAATTATCTTATAAGGAAAAAGAAATATATATATATATATAGAGTAGACCATTTCATGAGAAAAAAAAAATTAAGTTAAATAATTACAGTTCATTTTATTCAGTTAAAAAAAGATTAAATGTCACTTTTGATCCTTTAACTTAAGATTTTATATAATTTTTATCTTTAATTTTTTTTTACACATTTTAGTCCCTTAACTATGAAAGTGCAAAAAAAATTAAGAGATAAAAATTATATAAAACTATAAAGTTGAAATATCAAAATTAACATTTAACTAAAAAAAATTATAGCTGATTTTAAAGTTATAATTTTTTTATCCCAAATTATAAAGTGAAAAACAATACTTTATTTTTCATTTCTTAACGTATCAAACACTCGTATCATCTAATTTAAATTTAAAATTTTTTATTTTTATTAGAAAAAATTATTGTTAAACTATTAAATTTTTTTTTTTTGGTTTTTCACCTGGTATCCGGGGTTTCGCCCCGACTAATTCAAATCCGATCCGCGTTGCGCACCTGAAAATAGTGGGTGAGTCTTCTAACATGGGCTGCTGCGTACACAAGAGTTCAAACTCGAGACCTTACTTAAGCTGGAACAAGTTACTTACCACTTGATTCAACCTCTTGTTGGTTTTAAACTATTAAATTATTAATTTTAGAATTATAATTAAATTACATAAATAATTGTATACATCACGTTCCTGGAATGGCAAGGAAGTCTGCGCTGTGGACCCTGACGAGACCAATCAAGTGCCAACAGCTGGACTTGCGGTGCAAAACGGCGGTACATGTGCTTTTATGGGGCCGGTAGTACATGTACTGGTTTAATCCAAGTTCTTTGTATAACCTATTCTCCATTTTTTGTAGGGATTAGGGACTTGAGTTGTTTCAACATCGTATCTTCCTCTTACCGCGGTTAAAATTTAGTGGATAACAGATAACGGTAATAGGTAATAGGTGGTGATTAGCGGATGGAGGATAGCAGAAGTGGGTAACTGATGATAAATAACAGATTTAATAAATATAACTATTTGATTATACAATAGTTAGTGGCTGTTATTTAACATTAAATGACTAATAAGGACATGTTTAAAAATAAATAAGTGTATTTTTTAAAATATTTTTATTTTTTATTATTAAAATTATTAATTTTATAAAATAATAATAAAATAAATAAATAAAATTAATTATAATAATGTAATTATACCCTCATTTTTATTTTTAAAAAAGAAAAAATTATATTATTTTTAAATAAAAAATTAATCATTTAGTCTAATTAACAAATTTTGTTTTTTAAGATAATAAATTTTTTAATTATAAATTAATGTACAAAAAAATATTATAATCACTTAATATTATTAAAGGTAAAAAACAAAATTGAAATTTATTAGATAATTATTAATTAAAAGATGTGACCACAAACTAAAAAATTAAAATGGATAAATTTGTCAATAAAATTAAAAAATTTTAATCTGTTAGTGGTTTAGTACAAAAAGTTACATTAATTAACTTTTTCAATCCGCTAGCGATTTAGACCCTAACCGCTAGCGATTTAAACCTTAACCGCTATCCGCTAGTCTCAAACTGCTAAATAAAAATTTTACCAAACACTTTAGTTGTAACGGTTTCGAAATATATAAATTTACCAAACACCTATATTTAGCGATTTAAGTAAAATCGCTAACCGTTACCCCAAAACCGCTATACCAAACGGAGCCTTAAATTACTTGCCATCACACATGTAATGCTTAGTAAAATATAAAAAAATAAGTTAAAATACATTTTTGTAGAATAAAAATACTAAGTGAAAATTACATATTAAATAACTTTTAATTTGGTCAAAACTCTTATTCCTGAAGCTCACTGATTATATTAACAACTATAACCTCAGTTTGTACTTTGAACACTACTTAAATTCCAGCTCAAAGAATTGTACTTTTCCCAGTCCGGATGGATTCATTCTAGAACTAGAAGTCATATTTCATAATTTATCATTAAGAATAGGATAATATAGTGGTTTAATTATATTCCTTCCATGGCATAAAAGTCTACCCCAGTTGAAAAAGGTGGAGCGACTTCCAGTAGGATTAGTAATTTATTTAGGTTAAATTCCATTTTGGTCCCTCAACTATTGTATGGACCTTAGATGGAGTCCCTTAACTCTAAAAATCCCTGATTTGGTCCATTATGTTTCCTATTTTGGCACCAACTTGGTCCTTCCATTAAATTTTCGTTGACATGGCTTGTTAATTGACAGTAGAAGAATTACATGTCAAAAAATTTTTGACATGTAGAATTAACAGCATAGATAAATGAATGACATGGAAAAAAAAAAATTCCTTTTTTTTTCTTCCTCTCTTTTTTCTCCTTTTCAACTTTCTTCCTCTTTCCTCTCCCTTCCTTCTACTACTGTAAACCCTAACATCTTAAACCACCTTCAATTTTCCTTTCCAAATCAATTCATTTTCTTCCCCTTGATTTTCCTCACCCCTTTCTCTTCCAGATCTAGTTGTTCATTGCCCATCACTTGCGCACCTAATAGATCTAGGACCACCACAAATCAAATCTTAAAATCTACCCCAATCCGCTGGAATACGGCTCTTTTAAGTAGTCCAAAAGATACATCATCATCATCAAACAAAATTGAGGACTATAGGCTATAGCATGTGAACAAAAGAAAAGTGCAACAAAAAAACGGTTTAATACCCTTTTTGGTCCCTCTATTATAGGAAAAAGCCCTTTTTTGGTCCCTGTACCGAAAAAATCCCTTTTTTGGTCCATGTACCGAAAAAATCCCTTTTTTGGTCCTTACTGTTCACAAATCCGACCCTTTTTTAGTCCTTCCGTTAAATTTTGGCTGATGTGGCAGGTTAATTAATGGAAACACTCATTCTTTTTTTTTTACTAAATTACGTGGAAAATCCACATGACAAAAATTGGTGACATGTTAAATTTTTTACCTTTAATTACTAATATACCCTCATCTTCTTCCTCAGCTTC